TGCTCGTGGTGCCCGTGCTGGCAAAGCCTCGTGTGTGCGCCCGGGCCGGAGGGGCGGTGGGGGGTAGAGCTGCCCAAGTTGAGAAGAATGATCCGATTGAAAACTTAGGCACCAGTTCATTCTTCCCAGCGCTCCCCTCACCCCCCGCCCGAGGGAAGAGCCTGAAAGCCCAGCAAATCCGGGCTGGCTGAGTCCATGGCCACAGGTGAAGCGGCCACAGAGACATTTTTACTGTAGGGCGAGCGTGCATGCGTGTGTGTGTGTGTGTGTGTGTGTGTGTGTGTGTGTGTGTCGCTCTTTAATCCTGTTGCTCGCTCGAGGAAGGAAGAGAATCTGAACTTGACTTCCGTTCTCAGCCCGGAGTTAAAAAAAAAAAATCCACTATTCAATTCTGCTTCACGTTTTTAGAAGAAAGTCTGTTACTCCTAGGTAGGAGTGCACCTTTGGAGGGGCACACACAGAACAGCGAAGATGTGGCAGGGTTGCTGATGTCACGACAGGGACTAGGCTTTGCAGGAGGGTGCGAGCACTTCACTTACTTGGACAGTTCCTTTGCGTGCCTGTTGTGGTCAGCCAGATTTTCCGGGAAGGGAATACAGGTAGCTTGTAATGGAAGAAGATTAAGATCTTTATTTCTGGCTTTTACCTCGGAGCTTTCAGCTCTTGAATCCATTCTTTATGTACACCAGTCGCTTTTTTAAACGGGGCATCTGCACTTAGAAGGAACCCTCAGTGAAGTGTTGCGGGTTAGAAACAGAACAGTAGGCCTCACTGGCTGTGCTTCTGCAATGTGGGCATAGGGAGTTTCCCAAATGGACCGCATATGTGAATGTTTAGGTACTACAGCGTTTGGCCAGACTGTCTTCTCCGTGTCCTGTTGTTTTCCTGGCTCTAAACTTCATTTTGGTTTTGATGTAACAGAGGGGGAGGAAGACAGACTCCTGGCTCAGCTTTTTGCATTTAGAACTTTGTCATCTTGGGAAGGTCAGTCTTTCTGAACCTCAATTTCCTTGCCTGTAAAATTTAAAAAAAAAGAGAGAGAGAGAGAGAAATATACTGATTATATTGTCCCCCTCAGAGGCTTATTGTGAGGCTCAAAGTGTCCTTTCCCCCCCACCCCCCACCCCTAGTTCTGGTCGTTTTAAAGGCTTGTTACTTGGTAAGAGCTTTAGTAAAGTTTTTCAAGAAAAGTAAGTGATAAACAATGGTCGCAGTCATTCATTCATTCAAAAAATAGTAAGCCCTTGCCGTGACAAGTACCAGGTTAAGTATTCAAGGGGATAGTGGTAATCGAGGGAGAGGGCATGGTCCTCATGGAGCTTGTATTCCTGTTCTGGGGGTGGTTGTGGCTTGCCCTGCTGTTTTTGTCTTTTTGGAAGCTTCAAATTAGCTATTTCCTTTTCTTTTTTGTCCAAAAGATTAGACCACTTTGTGGTGGTGTGGGGAAATTTTGTTTTTAGGCTGGTGGTATCTCCTCATTTGTAAACAATGTCCCTATTAACTCTCCTCTGAAATGGCCGAAGCAGGTATATTTAGCAGTTCTGTGTATATATATATCTATGTGAAGTTACGTATTTCTGATTTGGAACTTGTTTTATTAATTGAGTAGGGGGAAAAGGGAAGAAATGGGCTAAACATTGCCACAGTCAGGGTTAGAGAAGCTACAAACTTAACTTGTGTTAGAACTGTAAGCTGAAAGTTATGATCCCAATTCTTGGTGCTGACCTGGTGTGAGATCTCAGTGAATGATCCACCTTCATTCGAAGAACTCTTACTGCAGTTGATAATAACTGACCTTGGATGCTGAGACCTCCTGTGTGCAAAATGGGTAAATAAGGAAATTACAGATGCTTTTCATTTTACCATTTAAAGCTGTGCATTACAACGTAGGGGTGGGAGAAGTAGCATTGTGGATTTTTAAAGGAAGGGGCAAAAGGTATGTGCCAACTCTCAAAATCAACTGATAAGGCCCAATTATTTTGATTTTTAAAATGATATTAATGGGACTATTTTTTAAAAGATATATTTTTATTGATTTCAGAGAGGAAGGAAGAGATCAAGAATCATTGATCGGCTGCCTCCTGCATGCTCCCCTACTGGGATCAAGCTGGCAACCTGGGCCTGTGCCCTGACCAGGAATTGGACCATGACCTCCTGGTTCATAGGTTGATGCTCAACCACTGAGCAATACCAGCCGGGCTAATGGAACTATTATGGAATTTCTAAGTATATTTCAAATTTTTTTACTTAACTGTGATTGATATTAGATTTTGTGGTTATGAATATTACAAATCAAACAATTCTTCCAAGAATGTAGTAAATCTACATTCTATTAAACTTTAGAAGGTTTGTTCTCACTGTTTGAGTCAGTTGTGATCTGCTTTGCAAGCATGCAAACTTATTGATTTCACTAGAAGTTAATATTTATTTGTAGTTGCTTAGAGTTTATAGAATGGTTTCATGTCTTCTTGGGCAGTGTGGCCGCCAGGGCAGGGTAATATTAGTTATTAGTTACTCACTCTTTGTCAGTAGGTATAAATAACTACGTATCCTAGAAAAGCAGATTATTAGCTAGGGAAAGCTTAGGGAAGTTTGGTCTGGTTGTAGTTGAAGAAGTTGAACCAATTTTCCATCTTGGATAAGTTGAATATTAATAGTAAGGACTTTGTATCCCAGTAAGAAATTTATTAATACATTTGTATATTTATTTTAATCCTCACGGGAGGATATGTTTTCATTGATTTCAGAGGGAGAAAAAGAGAGAACATCAATATGAGAGAGAAACATCAGTTGCCTTCCATACGCACCCCAACTGGGGATAGAGCCCACAACCTGGGTAGGTGCCCAAACAGGAAATTGAACCCACAACCCTTTGGTGTACTGGGCAACACTTCAACCAACTGAGCTACATAGGCCAGGGCTGTTAGTACATTTTTAGATACTGTTTATTTATGTTTATGAAGCTTTTGGCAGGGATTATAGTAAAAGCACTATCCTCCTCCTACATAGTAAACATCTGTCTGCACATACTTTGATTGCAGGTGGACAAGATTTGCCAGTCATCATTTTTAGGATGTAGTATTCACACAGTTGATTATGACTATGCAGTTTCATTCTGGAATTCTGGTTCCATTAGACCTCCATTTTTTTGCTTCAGGCCTAAAAATATATGAACCCTTGATCATAGTATCCCATTTTCAGTGGGCCTGGATCCCAAATCCTTTTGGAAGTTTCTGTTTTCTGAATGGCCATGGTTTACCACTCACTCCAGCCTGCCACCATAACCCCTGGCCTGCTGAGTCTGCCTCAACTCATTTAACAACTCTTTCTAGGAAATGGAATTAGTTTATAATATAGTGATTGGCTTTGCATTGGGTAGACCTAGATTCACATCCAGGCTCCTCAAATTACTTCCCACGTGGACTAGAATAAGTCATTTGACTTCTGTGAGCCTCCGTTTCTGCATATTTAAGCTGGGGTTATAGTGCCTACCCATACTTATCCAGTAAGATATCTCTCTCTATTTACCTATTATGTACGTAATACATAGTACATACTTATATGTAAATATGTATGTCTATAAACAGTGTCTGAGTTATAAAGTGAGCTTACTAAATGTTAGCTGTTTGTCTTAGGTCCTGGAAATAGTCTCTGAGATGGAGATTGACATGTAGTTTACTGTGGCTGCTCTTGGCATCATTACTAGTGGCAGCGTGAGGGGAGCAGGGCAGGGGGAGGAGTTGAACTGTGATGCAGTGATAATGGAGCTCTGGAGCTGGGATGGCCCTGCAGAGTTATCTAACCTGGAGGCGTGGGGGCAGGGCCTTTAAACCTTCCCTCCCCTACTGACTGCTTATTCGGACCTGGGCCGCCCCAGGGAAGAGGGTCTGACGGAAGGTCTCTTAGCTGGAGAGTCTCTGTGGAGAGGGACTGAATTGAGAGCCTTTGGTTCCAAGTGAAGGAGAGCCTCTCTTACTCCCCTAGCATTATGGGCTCCTCACTTAGCGCCATTCACCTGAAACACAGGTGTAGGCTTCATGGGCCAGGTTGGGAGTTAGCAACCATCATAACATTGTTTTGATGGGAATATGTGTTCTGAATTCCATATATCTGTTTACAAATAGCTTTTTAGAGCACCACCTGTTCCTTATAGGCAATATATATATATATATACACATATATATGTGTGTATATATATATATACACATATATATGCACACATATATATATATGGGATTTAGAGGCCCGATGCACGAAATTTGTACAAGAGTAGGCCTTCCTTATATATATATATTGGCCGACTTAGACTTATATCTGTTGAAAGGAAAATGAAGAGTACTGTTTATTTTCTAATCAAGGAATATTTATTGAGGGTATAAAGTATATAGACCACCATTGTGGTCTTGGAAGACATTTTCTTGCCTTATCTAGAAATTACTTTTGTTGGATCTTGAAAATATCTGCTACTTTTGAGCTTGTCTTTGAAATCCAACTTTGTAATGGGCATTGGTAGAAAATATTGCCTAATTCATCAAAGATTCATCTTGAGCACTTTGTTTATTATAGTAAGAACTATTCTGTGCTCTGCTAATGGTGTTTTATTCACAGCCCTTACTCTTTTTCTCTTTACTTGTTGCAGGACTTGAGCTTAAATTCTAGAAACTAAACCTTTGATGTTAGCTTTCCTTCAAGTCCAAGAATATATATCATCTGTAAAAAAAACCTGAAAACAGTAGATAAAACTGGGAACTCTCTGCAGCTTAATCCTCCTCTAAGCAATTTAAAGAACTTGAAGGTACCGAAAGGGAAATTTTAGGGGAAAAAAACTGTCCTGATTGATTTTGATCACCAGCTCTTTAATATTTTTAAGGGATTGATTCAATTAAAGATATTTTGTCATTTCATTATTTTACCAGTCATAAAATGGGCATTATGGAAGAAAATTAAAAAAAAATAAAGGGGATAGGCAAAGTTCTTTTTTACTTTCTAGTCAAACATACAATCCCACCAGTTAGATCATCATTGTTAACGTTTTGATATATATTCTTGTAGTCTTAAAATTTTTGTTCTTACAGACAATTTTACTAGAGGCCTGGTGCACAGATTCCTGCACTGGTGGGGGGCGTGGCCTGAGGGGATCAGCCCACAGAGGAGCAGCCGCTCATCCCGGTCAGCTGAGCGGTGCTCCCACTGTGGGAGTGCACTAATCACCAGGGGGTAGCTCCTACATTGAGTGTCTGCCCCCTGGTGGTCAGTGTGTGTCATAGTGACTGGTCAACCAGTTGTTCTGGTCATTCTGCTATTCGGTCACTGGGCTTTTATTATATAGGGTAATCTGCTTTTTATACATACAATATTTTGTGGGCATTTTAGCAGAGCCAGAAATTTACTGGTGTGTCACCACTTTTTTTTCTTGTTAATCCTCACCTGAGGATATTTTTTCATTGATTTTTAGAGTGAGTGAAGGGAGGGGGAGAGACACAAAGAGAGAAACATCGATGTGAGAGAAGCACTCACATTGGTTGCACTCACCCCGATGGAGCCTACAACCAACGTACATGCATAATGTGCCATCATATGTCTGCATTTGATCATTTTGCTATTGTTTGATCTTTAGGTTCTGCTATTGTTTGATCTCTAGGCATTATCCAATTACTTTCTTAGGATAAATTCTTACCTGTGGACTTGCTATGTCACAGGATATGCATATTATTATGACTTTTAATACATGCTGACAGATTGCCCTATAGAAAGGTTGTACCAGTTTGACCCTGCTGTGGTCAGAATGCCCTTGGCTCACGGCCTCGCTAATCCCTGGTTCTTACTCTTTTAAAGGCATGCTGGAGAATTGCTAGTACCCCCAAATATCTTAGCAATAGGCGGGCCTCATTGGACTGACAGCCTGGAGCAGATGCTGCCACACTGAGGGGGACTTTCCAAGCCTTTATGGATTTCTACTGGGGACTTATGTGCTCTTTAGTGATTTGGTGGTTAACAGATTCAATAGAATATTTAATAATGCTGAGTGATATTTTAGAAGGTGGTCTTAGTTAGTGAAGATAGAAGCATAGGCTTTGAAATCCTGTTTGTACCATTCTAATCATAAGAAGGAAGGCTGAGCATTTTTAAAGTTTTAGTCAAAAAGCATGTGTCTTGAGCTGACCTGAGTGTAAACCTCATTTATAAGGGCTACAACTTAACTAGCAGTGTTAGTTTGGGGCAAGTTACTTAATATTTTTTTGGTTTCCATTTTCTAAATGCAGCCCTTTGGAGTGTTTTCGAAGATTAAGAAAAATATATGTGAAAAATCTTGGCACAGGGCCTGGAAGATACGGTTACTGTCAACAATAGCTTTATAAATTTTATGATTTTTTCCAACCTTATTCAATAACGAAAGCTCTTAAGCTGTTATGCTCTTGAGAACCGACACTGAGACAATAAGGTGGTGGTGAAGGATCTGTGACTATTATAAGAGAAAAAGACTGGTATTTACAGGTTTTTATTGAAGTACTGATTTAACTATAACTGATCTGTTCTTTCCTCACTATCTTTCTCTGATCATAGTTTACCTGGAAAAATCAGATTATTTAGTTAAAAAAGAAAAGAAAAAGTAAAAAGCAAAGTGTGAAAATGGCTACATCTTCATTTCTTCATTCAGTCACTTATCCATCTTGTATGTGTGGAGTGCCTGCTATTTGTCAGTCACGTGTTAGGCTGTGGGATTACAAGGACAACAGAACTGGGCCCGAGGTTTTTGGCATCGATGGGAGCCTTTATAGAAACAAGTGCAAGTAGGTAATTACATGTACTGCACAAGGGCAGCTATGAAATAAAGTGCAGGATCTTCTGAGGTGGTAAAATACTGGATTAAATGTGGGGGTGGAATTCAGTGTGAAGATGTGGAGAAGAGAAATGAGCATGTGGAGTTGAAAAGTAGCTGAAAGGAGTTCAGGAGCTCAGAGTGTTCTTTAGGGACCAGCCAGAGTTTAATAATACCCTCTCTTCTCCAGACAACAGAATAATTCATTCACTAATTTACTTGTTCATTTGTTTGCTTTTTCATTGTTTTGTTCATCTGTACACTCATCCATTACTAAACATTTATTATGTGCTTACTATCTTCTGCGACTGGAAGTATAATGTTGGGTTGTACCTATGAGTATCAGAATCTGCACCCCCTACAGGCTCTCGGTGAAGCTGGGATAGAGACATGTATGGAAACACCGGAGCCACGATGGCTGGGGTCCAACCCCAGCAGGTCCAGGGGTCCCCAAAGGTGTGGACGGAGTCGGCGAAGAAGGAATGACACGGAGACAGCTTTCACCATAAATATTCAAACAGGGGCTGGTAAAGAGGTTTCCACATCGGCTCAGACAGTGGTTGGCAAACTGCGGCTCGCGAGCCACATGCGGCTCTTTGGCCCCTTGAGTGTGGCTCTTCCGTAAAATACTGACTAGAACTTATGACCGTTAAT